CTTCATTTACGCGTGATTCTCGTGTACGGGCAATTAAGTTTCTGGCAGGAAAATTACTCATTGAACAGTTTGGTCATTTTCAAAAAATACCGCTAAACGGAAGTAGTTTATTTCTTTTTATGAAAAATTTACGATGATTTTCGACATTAAGTACACAAGGTAGGTGTGAAGGAACAACCGTTCATGCAGTTAACCTAATTCAAGCTGTGTGCAAAAACGCATGATCGCACCGGCTTGCCTGGTGCGTTTCAGCCTGGGTTTGTATTTGTACAAAGTGAAAACGCATATTGTCGAGCGGCTATTTGTTTATGTGTATGTGTGCGTGCGTGTACGCATGTGTTTGCGTGCGTATGTGTGTGTATGTACTGGTGCGCAACGTCTATCCGGGTTTTCGATGTCGAGATCTGCGAGAGTTATAAAGCTGAAACTTTGAGAACTCAGACTACACCTATGTACAGAACTCTAGTCGCAAAATGAGTGTTCAGGTCTTCTGGTTCTCATGCGCGGGCACTTGATTTTGGTTGTCGTCGGAGCGTGCTTCATGAAAAAAGCATTACAATTTCAAAAGCCCCTATCTTTCTGTGTCTGTTCATCTGTCTGCCTTCCTATTTATCTAACGGTACGATATAAAAGCTACGAAAGCTGGATAACTGAGAGCTGGGCAATCAGTGGAGAGCAAACATCTGATATCGGCTTCGAGATCTGTCTGAGCGATGATGACCCCAAGGCAACACTCAGACTATTGCAATTATAGCCTGGAAACAATGAAAGCCACAAGCTGAAAATTTGGGAAGCCAATGCATGCTGTAATTGGGAGGCGAAAAATCTGAATTCAGGATGCAACAAACTCTTGATCTATGAACTTAGATTTATATCCAGGCTAGAATCAACCGTTGCGAAGTGGAGTGGACTAGAGACCGAAAATTTTGGGGATTAGCTTACTGCACCAGAGAGAATGAATGGGCCAAAATGAGTTAATTTCTTAGGCTTGCATAGTCTCACTTCCGAATAGTGTCTGATGGCGTGACTTTGATACAAAGGAAGCAGCGAAATTGAGATTTAGTGCCACCTATGCGCTAGACCTGTTCGTAGTGCTGAGGAGCTATAACGCTAGTAGTAGCGTATAGCTCCTCAGCGTAACAACTCCAACAGTTCTTTGAAAGCACCCCAAGCGATCGAGAACACTGCGTGGAATGAGTGCACTGCACTTTCTCTCGTGCTTGGCTCGTGTGCTCCGAATCTGATAAGTTGATGTTAATGCCATTATTACTTACTGATTCTGGCACTATTTCTTTCAAGGTTCTCGTTCGTGCTGCTATGTATTGAAATGTTTATCAAAGTCGTACCGTTTCCTGTGTTTTCAGATGTCCGGCGATGATCCTGACGTTGCAGTGCAGCTCGCTGCAGCTGTAGCATGTGTGCAGATCGCTCGGCCACATAAATCGGTTATATTTGTTGAGAATCATTTGCTTTATTCTAAAAATGCTGGCTTGTAATGAAACGTCTTCTCAGTATCGAGTTGCATCAGAGTCAGAGTGAAGTGCGATGCACAAGCCAAGCACCGTGGTCAAGAAATTTGGTGTACATGTTACATCCGTCAGTAAAACAGCAGCAGAAAATTGTAGATGGAAAACACCGAGCGAAATGAAACTGGCGCAGAACAAAGCTGCGAAAAAACCGAATGGTTGAAAAGATCGAAATTTGTATGGCCTATGAACAAAAAACTGACAGAACAAGAAACTCTGCCAGAGAAACAAATTTTCGGACGAAAGCGGACTGCATCGCACTTTGTTGAAGAGTAAGCATCAAGATGTCACCGAACCTACTATTATCCATTGCTACCATGATCGCCCGCGGAAATCGACGTTAATTGTATGTCAGATGGGAACGCGTACCACAATTTCTGGTGCGATTACTGAATTTACTGTATCTGTACGAGAGACATTCATGTACGCGAAAGCTACTAACTTTTTTTGTTAATTAGGCAGGAATCTGAATAAATTTCAGATTTCTTGCATTTCCAATTGCTGAGAGAGAGAATAGGATGACGGCAACAATGCAGTTTGAACATTCGATATGTCTGCGCTTAGACGCAGCATAAGCAAAAACTTACTTTAGCTTGCTAGCTCGCACATGAACAGCAAACTTTGGCGGAAAAATACTGCTTCCTGCTCAGTCTAATTACCGCATTAACTAGGTGCCAACAGTTTCCTAAATTAAATTTTCCTATGCTTGCATGGGGTCCTAGGCTGCGACAACCTTGCTGCAGACAGAGTCCCTATGCAGCGCCGTCAAGTTGATGTTCATTGGCGATATTCGCTAGTGGGGTATGGTATTTGAAAACGTTTGGTATAATTTTAATAAGGTGTGGTTCTATAAGCGGAGCTCTGTGCATCCTTCTTATCATTTCGTAGTAATACCAGTTTTTGAGCGCTTTTCAAGCTGTGCAGCTCATACTTCTTTTGCCGCTGCTGCTGAGATCTTTCTGCTACAGAGAAGTCGTATATTACAAAATGCAAAAGAATTTGGAGTAAATCAAGCAGTTCCG